AGTGAGTGAGTCTGACCTGGTGCTATTACAGATTCTGAGTCCGTCAGTTAGGGAGCACACATTTCCCTCAAATGAACAGTGCACGAAAAATTAGTCATGCCCTAGGACACGGTCCTTCAACTTTCCTGTGAATGGGACGGTAGTAAATATTTTCGATATTGCAGACCAGGAGCCTAAGCCAACACTAGTATAGGTACTGTGTAACAAGAGGGAAAACAGATTACCAAGAATTTCATTATAAAGTTAAAATTTTTATTTGTGGGCACTAAAATTAGAATTTTGTATAATTTCATGAATAATAAAGTATCACTCTTCTCTTGATACTTTTTTCCCTAACCATTTAAATGCATTCTCAATTTGTGGGCTATATAACAATGAGTGACAGGGACCAGCAGATGGCATGGTGGTTAAGTCACTGGATCTCCATGGCCAGCTGCATGGTTGGAATCTGGGACCTGTTGGCTTGAAAACATGCCGGTGCTTGTGTGTGCACGTTCAGCATGCCAAGAGGAGAAGGGGAGAAGAGATTGCAGTGTAGCTATCTTCCCAGGGGAGTCATTTCTTACTTTCTCTCTCTCAGTCTCTTTCTGGCGCGTGCACGTGCCCTACAGCAAAAAAATTAAGAGTTCAGATGTGGGCACAGACCAAAACTCTGTTTTAGGACATAAATAAAACCTCAGCAGTTTTCCACTGGGTAGGTGTCATGATTATAGGCTGTGATCTCTGTACATAACGTAACTGCTGAATATGTTAATAATAAGAAGGTAAGTTAAAGAGATTTCTGTATATTTAGAAAAATTTAAATGAATTATTAAATAGCTCATGGGTTAAAGAATAGACTTAATGGACATTCATAAAATCCTAGACCTGAATGATATTGAAAACATTATATATAAAATTTGTGAGATCTGATTAAAGTGGTGATAAGAGAGAAATGTATATCTAATTGTTTTTGTTAGAACGGAATCAAAACATGCATGACCATTAGTCAGATAAGTATCTAAAAAGGATACCAAGTCGGGGTCAGTACTTGGTGTAGTGGTTAAGGCACTGGGCTCTCACATGGCTTGAAACTCATGCTGGATGCTTGTGAGTGCATGTCCAAAATCCCGAGAGGAGAGTAGAGGAGTAGGGATTGAGACGTGACCATCCCCCGTGGAGAGTGATTTCTTTTTCTCTCTCTGGCAAGTGCACACGCCCTATAGCAAAAATCTCTCTCTAAAAAAAAGAAAAAAAGATACCAAATAAGCAGTAGAGTAAAGCCAATGAGAGAAGGAAGCGATTATAAAAATAAAGGTGGAAATTAATGTAGTAGATAACTGATACAATAAAGATAAATCTGAATTATTATTATTTTTTTTGAAACTAAAAAAGAGACACAGCGTTAGCAAGGCTGATCAAGAGAAGAAAAGAGAGGCCTAGCTTCAGCAACAGATAGCACCACCACTGGGAGGCTGGAAGCCTTGTGGGAGGCTGGGTTCAGCTCCCAGGCCAGCCAGACACCCACGGTGTAGTTGCACATGCCTGCAGTCCTAGCTAATTGGGGGGCTGGAGCAGGAGGATCATGACATAGTGAAGACCCTCTCTGAAAAACCTCTCTCCCCTTTTCTTTACTCCACTACTAAAGGCAAAATGGGAGAGAGAACAAACAATTTTATGAATGAGAAGGTGGGCCTAACCATAGGTAGAGATTACAAGGTAATGGAAGATAATTAGAAGATGCCCAGGTAATTCAGGGGGGAAAACGATAGTGGGTTTTTTTTTTTTTTGACAAATAATGCTAAAGTAACTGAATATTTGTATTCTTAAAAGCAAACCTTGAGGGGCCATGAGGTGGAATGATGGTTAAGGCACTGAATTCCCACATGACTGACTGTAGTTTGAATCCTGGACTTAGTGGCTTAAAAATCACACCTGGTGCATATGGATCCTGAGAGGAGAATGGAGGAGAAGGGATTACAGCATGGCCATCTCCTCTGGGGGATGATTTCTCACTTTCTTTCTCTCTCTGTCTGTCTCCCTCCAGCAAATGTGCATGACCTATGGCAACCCCTCATAAAAAAGCAAACCTTGATTCTTACTTTATACCCTACACATAAGTGAACTTTACAGAACCTTAGACAAAAATTTAAAAGCTAAGCTTCTAGAAATCTTTGCAACCAGGGCGAGCAGGTGGCATGGTGGTAAAGGCTCTGGACATTCCCACATGGCTGACCACAGTTTGAGTCCCTTACCTGGTGGCTTGTATTCTCACTTTCCCTCTCTCTCTGTGTCTCTGTCTGGTCAAATTAAGATGAATGAATGAACGAACAAATAAAATTAAATAATTTTTTTAAAGAAAAAATATCTTTACAAGCTTAGAAAAATTCTTTGGTATGGACACAGAGAGCATGAACCATAAAAGAGAAAAAGTAGAACTGGACTTTATAAAAATATAAAGTTTCTACTCTCTGAACGATGCCATTAAGAAAATGAAAAGGTAAGCCAAAGATTGGGAGAAAATATTTGCAGTGGATGTCTGATGACAGAGTGTACCTAGAATTCATACAGAAATTGTATAGCACAATAAAGTCAGTACTTGATTTATTCTCACATTCTCCCATGTGTGTGTGTGTGTGTGTGCCTGTGAATGCATGCATGTGTGCACATATGAGGGAATTTGAACAGATATATCCCCAAGGAAGGTATGATTAATAAGCATATGGGGAACCAGCAGTTAGCGTAATGGCTATGTCGCTGGACTCCCACGTAGTCGACCGCGGTTCGTGTCCCGGACCCGGTGGCTTAAAAATCTCACGCCGGGCGCGTGTGCGTGCGTGCCCAAGATCCCGAGAGGAGAATGGCGGAGAAGGGATTGCGGCGTGACCATCCCCCCTGGGGGGTGATTTCTCGCTTTCTGTCTCTATGTCTCTCTCTGTCTGTCTGGCGAGCGCACGCGCCCTACAGTGAAAATCTCTCAAAAAAATTTTTTTAAATTAATAAGCATATGAAATGATGCTCCGCATGTTAGTGATCAGAGAAATGCACATGAGAACAGCGCTGTCATACCAGTACACACCTACTACAGTAGCTAAAACAGAAGGACCGAGGACACCATGTCTTGGTAAACGTATGGATCTGTTGGGTCATTGGGAAAGTCATGATACATTTTTGCATAGGAAAACACGTCATGACTTTCCTGATCTCCTAAAGGACTGGTGGGAGTGTGAAACGGCATAACCACTTTGAAAGACAGTTTAGTAATTTCTTATATATTTACACATACATTCACCTTATGGCCTAGCAATTAATTCTAGTGCTGGTATTTAAGAAACTAAACTACATATGGGACCAGCAGTTAGCATAATGGCTATGTCGCTGGACTCCTATGTAGTCAACCACGGTTCGAGTCCCAGATCCGGTGGCTTAAACTCACGCCAGGCGCGTGTGCGTGCGTGCCCAAGATCCCGAGAGGAGAATGGAGGAGAAGGGATTGTGGCGTGGCCATCCCCCCTGGGGGGTGATTTCTCGCTTTCTATCTCTCTGTCTCTCTCTCTGTCTGGTGAGCGCATGTGCCCTATAGCAAAAAAAAAAAAAAAAAAAAGGAAACTAAACTACATGTCACAAAAGTTTCATGTATAAATGTTCATAGTGATGATATAATAACCAGATATTGGGAACAGTACAATTCTAGCAATTTGGATAGTTAACCAAATTGTGGTACATTAATACAGTGGAATGGTACCAGTCTATAAAAAAGAATGAACTACCAGCAAGAATTTAAATGATTTCGAAACCTCTGTGCTGAGTAAAAGCAGTCAGATGCAGAAGTACACACACCACATGGTTGGATTTCTGTGAAATTCCCAAACAAGCCGCTCATGACAGAAGTCAGAACTCTGTCTGATAAGGACCAAGGGTGAGGGTTGGGGATTGATTGCTGGAGGGAGTAGGGGAAGACTTTATTATATGTACATTACACCTTAATAGAGTTGATTTTAAAAGGATCATAAATATTGCCAGCAACTATTCGCCAGCAGTTTTGAAACTTAAATGAACTGGACAGATTCCTAAGGGGAAAAAAAAATTATCAGAACTGACTCAAGAAGGAATAAAAAGCTTAAAAGTTTGACTAATTCTAAAACTATTAAATTGTAACAGTGATTTAAAAATTTTCCCACAATAAGAAAAAACGCACAGCCAGATGTTTCATAGGTGTGTTCCACCAAACTTTGAAGCAACAAGTAATCCCAGTTTATACAGACTCCAGGTAGAGGAAAAAAAGGAGCCCCTCTTCAGTTCATTCTGCGAGGTCAGCATAACCCGAAGAAGTCCAAACAGACATCACAAGTCCTTTTCACTCATGAATACAGACACAGATATTCTAAACACAGCAAACCAACCTCAGCTGTGTTTATAAGAGACCTTACTTCACCTGCAAGTTGGGTTCTAGTAGGTATACCAGGATAGTGTAATCCTGGAAAGTCCATAAAAGTAACTTACCACTATAGATGAAAAGAAAATGCAATAAATGCATTTGATAAACTCGAATCTGAGTCATGTTTTCCAGTTAAATCCCCCCCTTTATTTTGATTGAGGGAGTAGAATCAGAAACTTAGTGCTTTTCTGTTTTGGTGAGTGACCTGACAACCACGGGTGGTGGGCCTGTGGGCCGTGTGGCCCTGTAGCCAGCCATCCCCACCTGCTGGGCGTGACCGAGGGCGTTACTTGTCCCTCCCTCTGCCTCCGTCTTCTCTGAAGGTGGGAGTGACAATACTTCTCACCAGCAGTTGTCGTGAGGATGAATGAATTAATGAACAGGAAGCACACAAAACAAGGCTGATACACAGTTTTGATCATTTGTAGTAAAACTTTTCCAATAATGTCTTTTAGATTGCCTTCTTTAAGGCCATCTCCATCTTAGCCAAAAGGCTGAGTTAATGACTCTATTTAGGCTTTGATAAAAGTACTTTCCCCTTCAGATTACAGATTGACTTCTTTTCTCTCTGTGTATCCCAAAGGTGAGTGATTTCACGTGGAGCCACGATGGAACACAAGCACTTATTTCGTATCGAGACGGGTTTGTCCTGGTTGGTTCTGTCAGTGGACAGAGACACTGGTCGTCTGAGATCAACTTGGAAAGCCAGATCACGTGTGGCATATGGACTCCTGATGACCAACAGGTAACACCTCTGCGTGTGCGACCTTGAAACTGTGGGAGTGGGAAGGGAAGACGGGGTGGCAGTGGGCACAGATGCCTCTCAGAGAGTCGCCAAGGAAGAGACCAGTGAAACTGTCCAGGTGACACTTAAAACAAAAGTTTTAAATTAACTATGTATTGGAGAAATCGTATTTTCCACCAGTATGGTAAATACTGAATTAACATTTTAATTATATAAAGTGTTCATACAAACTTATTTTTATATCTACCTGAATGGCCAGTTGATAAATAGATAATGGATATAAATAATAAAAGAGGAAGTTCAACTATAGATGTAAATACCAGATATAGTGTGCGTGCAAGAGGAGGCTCTGAGGAAGGACGTTTAGAGGAAAAATCGGGAGGCAAAGTATTAATGTCACAAAGAAATGTGGTATTATCTGTTGAAGATATTTTGTAGATTTATCAACGTATTAGGGAGAAATGTTCACCTGTTGAAATATCCATTTTTTAAGACAAATAATGTGATTGACTGTATAAAAGAAAATGAAATAAAAAATTAATTAATTAAAATTTAAAAGAGTTAAAAAAATAAATAAATATGTTTGGTGGAAATAATTTATTCTCAGAGAACAAATATACAGTGAGCCCAACGAGGGTATTTTTTCATTTATCAGCACAGGAATAATAACATGATACAGTTCAGAGAACAAACCAATAAACATTCACATTCGTTGCTGATAATAATGTGTGTTGGCCCTCAAAGCAAGTTGGCAGAGTACATTAACAGTCTTGAAAGTTATCAACCACTTAGATTTGGTAGTATATGTGAAGAACTTACCTGAAAGAAACAAAGGAAGAAAATAAAAGTTGTAGTCATTAAAGCATTACATATGATAGTAAAAATTCAGAAACAGCCTATTATCTAAAATAGGAGAATAGGGGACCAGCAGATGGTGTAATGGCTATGTCACTGGACTCCCATGTAGTTGACCGTGGTTCGAGTCCCAGATCTGGTGGCTTAAACTCAACACGGGGTGTGTGTGTGTGTGTATGTGTACAAGATCCTGAGAGGAGAATGGAGGAGAAGGGATTGTGGTGTGGTCATCCCCCCTGGGGGAGCGCTTTCTCCCTTTCTGTCTCTGCCTCTCTCTGTCTTTCGGGAGAGCGCACACGCCCTATAGCAAAATAGTAAGTAAATAAATAAATAAGTAAAATAGGAGAATGGTTAAGTATAAAACTATGCTGTAAGTACTTTATATAGTAGATCAGTAAATTATAAATCGTGGTCATGGAGACAGTGTCACAATCTGGAAAAACTCTGTGATTAGGAGCAAAAACGTCAGGATACCAAATGGTGTGCGTGGGATGTTGCCCCATCATCAAACACCACAAAGAACACCAGTCCCGTGGAAAAAAAGAACTGGGAAGAATGAACCAGCCTGCCACAGTAGCTATTTCACTGCCATCGGCCTCTGGTTCATTTCTTAAAAACTCATATCAAAATTGCCTTAATGTGTCTGTTTAACTTTAATGATATAGTAGTTTAAGTTTAATGATATAATGATATAGCTCTATATGTAATAGATATATGTGACTTTAATTGATATGCTGGTATCAATGATATATTGATCATTTGTTTTTAAAATAGTCTGGTTGACCACTTAAAACCTTTGTAAATATAAAACTAAACATAGTGAGATCTGTTAAATGCTAGAATGTTTCATGGCAGAGATTTCAGTTTGACATCGGTAAAAGGAAGCAGTATAATATGGAACTGTACTTTTGTATTTGAGCCACTTGCTTTTTTTTTTGACAGAACTCTTTTCCTCTAGTCTTGTTTCCATTTTGTGAAGTAAAAAAGGCAAATCTGGCTTCTCTTCTCAAAATTAGCGTTATGAAAAGGTACTTTCAACTCCAAGTTTCTTCCCTCTGCTTCCCCCAGGGGTTTCTAATTGTCCGTTAGCATTCGTGTGTATTTACATGTAGCACTTAGGTTTATTTATTATAAAGTTTTAACTGACCCTTTTACTACCCCTCCAGTGTCCTCGGAGAGCAGCCCTTCCACACCCTGGCACCGGCTCCTCTCCTCTCCTGCCCCAGGTTTCTCTTCCGTGACAGAGTGTGTGTGTCATTTCCCACCTGGTCCTCAGGGCTGTTGTAAGGACCATGTTCCTCCCTCTCCTGGTGGGGTGAGACCCATGAGCCGTCTGTGACTGAGCTGTGCCCACCCATGTCTCCCACAGACCACACCTGTACGGGACAGGCCTGAGGCCCACCAGGAACCAGCAGCAAGGGAGGTGCAGCTCTTGCCCTTGGGGTGCTTGTGGCTCCCCCGAGGAGACAGACCCGAGTCGCAGCCCTGCTGTGTCCTGGCAGTGCTATGCCAGGTTGAGGTGGGGGCCTCTGAGGAAATGTGGGTCTGGGGTGGCGTCCTCGTCCTCGGCAGTGTGAGCAAAGCTCTGGTGTGGACCGCACAGCGGGTGTGCTGTGTGCCACAGTGAGTGGAGACAGCTGTAGGAGGCAGGAGGCCATGGCGTGGGCACAGGGAGCCTTGGGGCCAGGCTGTCTTCCTGGTTCCCTAATTACTACAAGAATGTGTTTTACTGGATTCCTTCCCCCACTTTTGTTTTGTTTTGGTTTGGTTTTGAACCAGTATCCAGTTTGATTCATGTATAGCAGTTGGTGGTTATGTCTCTTCTGGCTTCTGGTCCCTGAGAGCTTCCCTTTTCTAAATGCTTTTCTTTTCTTTTTTTTTTTTTAGTGAGATTTTTGCTATAGGGTGCGTGCGCTCGCCAGAGAGACAGAGCGTGAGAAATCACCCCCCAGGGGGATAGCCATACCGCAATCCCTTCTCTATGCTCCTCTTGGGATCTGGGGACGCACGCATACATGTCCAGTATGAGTTTTAAGCCACTGGGTTTGGGACTTGAACCGCAGTTGACCACATGGGAGTTCAGCCATGTAACACTTACAGCACACGCTGGCCCCTCTAAATGCCTTTCTAACGAGCTCAGTGTTGCTCCCTGTAGACTGTCCCACACCTTGGATTTGTCTGATTGCTCAGAGTACCACTTAACTTCACTACCAGCCCTGTGTTTCCTAGAAAGTAAAGCTGTGTCTAGGTTAGAGCTAAATTTGCAACTCCGGTAAGAATACGCCGTAGGGAATGCGAGTCTGCACTGAAGCACACAGGGGGATGGGGACTGTCATGGGACCCCCGGGGAGGGTGCTGAGTTTGACAGAACCTTGGTGAAAACTGACTTTTCACAGCTTGTTCTTGAATTTATCTATACTTAACAGCTAATATTTTCTTTTTTAAAGAACTATTTGTTGTATATATTTTTTAATTTGCTACAGGGCATATGTGCTATAGAGAGGAGGAGGGAGAGAGAAACAAAGGGAAAGTGAGAACGCAAGCTGCCAGGTCCAGGACTTGCACCTGGGTCGGCCATGTGGGAGTTCAGCACCTTAGCTACCACACCACCTGCTGGCCCAACAGCTAACATTTTCAAATAACACGTTTTACTGCAGGCTAAAATCTGTGTCCCCCTTTGGATTTTAAGGAGGGAGTGTAATCCTTCTTGTAGTTTATGTAGGGGTGAAAAAACTGTTAGTCTGCACGGACTGCCTGCAGAAGACCACCGGCTGGGTGTTGGAAGCGACAGAAGTTTAGTTCTTACAGTTCTGGCAGGTGTGGTTCGTCTGAGGTACCCCTTTGTGGCTGACGAACAGCCACCTTCTCACCGTGTCCTCACAGGACTCTTGGACACCCACATCCTGATGTCTCTTCCTGGTCTTATAAGGACACTGGTCATACTAGATTAGAATCCCACGTTCATTTAACCCCGATGGCCTCTTTTACAAGCCCTCCCTCATCTCCAAATACAGTCACTTTGGTGCTTTAGCAAGTTTACCAAATGGTTCGAATAATTTATCAGTCCACAGTAGACTGATAAAAAATATTTGGAGAACAGAAAACTCACAGAGGAAACAGTGATGTAAACTCAGCGTGGTAAGCTTGGGATATATATATAAATAGAACAGTATTTGTAGGGCTTGGAAAGAAACAGAACAGCACATAGCAAATGTCAAAGAACGAAATAAAAACGTAACTGGAACTGTATCAGTGGGCTGGGCATCACCACAGTCGTGCGGCAAGAATGCGGCTGCCCTCCTGGACGCGCCAAACACCGAGAGCGGCGCCCGCGAGGGAGGGCCCGGGTGTCCTCCTCCTTCTCCAGGCATTTGGGAAGTGCCTGCCGTGCCACTTGATATATGAAAGTGCTCTGAGACACGGACAGTTAAAAATATCTTCCAGGTCATTCGGGGGCTTAGCTGACTCAGGTACGGCTGGTGGACAGCAGAGATGTCTGTGGGGGAAGTGTTTCCATTCAGAAAGTCAGAGCCGCTGCCACCCGGCCAGTGTGTGTCAAGGCACAAGCGTGATGCCCTGGGAGGACAGTGGCCAGCGGGTGCGCCCATGTCTACTGCACACAGGGCAGAAGGAAAACCTCAAACTCACATTTGAGGAATTGAGTTAAACAAGGGAGAATGTTCTGGTAACCGTGGAAGAACACGCCTGAAAGAGCACGGAACAAAACTTTCTGAGTTCCTTCCCTTTCCAGGGTTCCTGGGACATGCCCTCTGCTGGGGATAGGGGGTCTGCATAGAGCTGTCCCTAGGCCTCTGATTTTTGTCACCACTCATCGCTGGTACCATTTCTCTACCAGATCTGCAATGTGGCATATACAGGATTCGGGTGCCTCTTAAAGGACTCTCAGGCATTAAAGTCTGTGTGCTTAGAGCAGCTTGTGACCCCATTTCCCCACAGTCAGGGCGACCCGAGTCTGGCACAGGCTATGCGGGTGCCCTCCTGGTCAGTGGCACTCCCCAGGAACCTCACTCACCTTCTTCCTCACAGGCTCTCTGTCTCTCTGCCCTCAGCTGAGGACACACAGCTCAGGTGAAGTCTCATAGCCCGGAACTTCGTTGCCATCCCTCCGCTTGGTCCCATTGGGT